GCCGACGTCATACAGTACCGTATTTTCCGCACTAAAAGGCGCACCTAAAAGCCTTCCATTTTCTTCAAAGCTCACAGCGCGCCTTAAAATGTGATGTGCCTTGTGTATGGCTAGTACGGTAATATGTCAAGCCCCAAAATGGCTCCTTGCTAGAGACATGCTTACAACGCAGAGTTCAAACTTAAGGCGATCGGGTTACGCAGTTGAACACAGAAAGAGAGCAGCCGCAAGAGAGTTCAACGTTAACGAGTCAATGTTTTAACTCGCTGTTGGTTAAGTGAACTGTGGCGCTGCTTTATTAAATAAGTTTTACTGACATCTGATCGTTCAGTTGGCATTTCCTTGAGCGTCGCTCCATCTCGTGGATGCATTGTAGTTTGCGTCTTATAATGCCGTGTGTCCAATATATGAAAAAATTTACAAAATAGGCCATTCATTGAAGGTGCGCCTCATAATCCAGTGCGCCTTCTAGTGTGGAAAATACGGTCACGGGGGGAAAAAAAATGTCACTCGTAAGACAGCCGTTTATCTAGTGCACTCAGGTTATTCTACCAATTCGCCTAAACGTCTTACAAAACGCTTTCCCATGAGGCACACTGTATCTGTGAAGCCCGGTTGGCTGTTGTCACGCTGCTTGTAAATGCCGCCGTCGCGGTCGACACGCTGATGTCGCCGAGCCCCGCCGATGTGTTTCCTGTCATCCGCGGTGGAGTTTTTGTCGTCTTTGGGGCGCCCTCAAACATCCTCCTCCTTGGCAAGAGAGGAGGCGAGCGGGCCAAGCCAAACCATCTTCATTCCTCGACCCGGGACATCGGCTCAGTGCGATGAGGCCTGACTTTTGCTGTTGGGAATGGGAACAAATGCCCACTCAATGGTTGGGAATGGTCAAAATGAGAAGTGGATTGACACAAGCTCCATAGCGGTGGTCCACTTTGCTGTGCGTGTCCATCTATTGGGCCATTTGGCTCCTCTTGTCCTGTTGGTGGCAATAATTACAAAAACATCAAATGCCACACAAAGCAAGCTGATTTCACGACAGATCCATTTGGTGGGTCACCGCCCCACCTGGCCCCGATGCAAGCTGACCGTGACACAAAAAAAAAAAAAAAAAATTCCAAACTTGAATATCTTCTTCCTCAGCCAATGCGCCAGCTGTCTTCAATTGTTTGTAGAAATGAGCTATGTAGCGCTAATGCAGGGCCACTGCCCTGCCTGGCCCCGATGCAAGTGGCCTGTAACAGCAAAAGTTGAAAAACTCAGATGCAGTAAAAAAAAAAGTTATTTCTGATTCAACGCTGGGTTTGTTATTCATTCTGTCCTGTGTGTGTGTTGTAAGAAAGACAGTGGGGGGTGAGGTAAAGGCAGGGACGACGGGGGGGTTGCCTCAGCAAGAGCTCCGGACCTCCCCAAAGGCGGCTGTTTGCCTTGGCACAGCCCGAGCGAGCGACATGAAAGTATTCGTATTGAACTCCATTTTATTTTGCCTACGTCGCGAACTTTTTTTTTACTTCTCCTCTTTACTTTCCTTCTCCATTTCCTTTTCCATGTCTGCTCACACTCTTTTATTCCTCTTCCCCCACCACCATGGGGCTTCCTCCTTTTCGCCCCAAAAGGGTCCCAGGGCTTGTTGCTGTAGGAAGTGGAGCACAAGTCGGTCCAGCAATCGCGCCTGATTAAATATGTACCCCGTGTTTATGAAATTAGTCTCAATTATTTTTAATTGGCGGTGGTTCTTTCACTTCCTCTCAAACACACACACTCTGTGTAAACACGTACACACTCTTTGGCAAAGCAGCCGCTAGCCTTGTTCTTGCTAGTTGACTGGATCAGATAAGCTGGTGACACGGAGCACAGGCCGTAATTAAAAAGGGCGGTCCATCGCAGACCGTCTAGTTCCTCAGACTCTGACCACACAGTGAGCCGACCCCAAGTGGTGAGCTTTGCGGTCGGGGCTCCACCGTGGTCACCGCGGTTGCTTTCTTTTCGGTCCGTTTTCCCATAGGAAAAGAAAATAAGTGTGGCCATCTGAAATCCCTTTTTTTAACTGTACAGGCAATGTTTTCACGGAGAAATATTATGCTTTTGTTTTCACTTCTTGAAACGCGTCCCAGGTGTCATGGTCAAACGTCTCAGACATTGATGGGTCAAAATACAGAGTTGGGTGTAAATCAGCCACTTTTTGCTGATTTTGTGTGTGTGTGTGTGTGTGTGTGTGTGTGTGTGTGTGTGTGTGTGTGTGGTGTTTTTTTTTTTTAAACATAAACATATTACAACAAAAGATACAACTTTGGCTCCATCTGGTGGCTTTTGGTATCTAGGAAACAATTTCAAGGGAGTTGAGGGGCTTCAATTAGCAAAAAATAGTACTTTGGCACCATCTCGTAAATGCCTGTATTTAGTTGTCTGTCTACATGTGTGGCTTCACCGTTGTTTGAAAAGTTACCACACTACATGATCAGTGCCATTCGTGAGCATGTCTATGACGTTTTGCATTGTGTGCTAGCATTAAGCTAGCAGACTTTCTTCAGGTAAAAATACACATGTAATTCACTTTGTTTTATGTTTAGTTTGACATAGTGGCACAGCGGGAGCTGTTTTAAATTGTAGGGGAGGAAATGAATGTTTCCTAAAAGAAAAAAAAAAATGCAGCATGATGATGTTCCAGAAAACCATGTCGGTCATATCCGAAGTCTGTGCAGTAGCGAGGCGTTGTCACTTTGCGGCTCCTCGTGTGCGGTTGACGCCTGTGTTTGCTTTAGAATTCCTCTGTGTCTTATTTATGACAGGAAATGCTCATCATAAAACGGCCCTTCTGTCTGCGGGGACGTGTCGATGGAAATAGGAGACGGCAGACGGGAGCCCACGCGCGCACTCAGACTCGCGCTAATACGCGCCACACGAGGGCCGAGAATACATTAGCACACGCGTACGTGCATGAAGCTTCCGCACACGCTCGTGAGTCTTCAACCGCATTTGCCACTCGGCTTTGAAATGCGCCAGCTGCAAATAAGTCCCATTTTGACACGATTAATTAGCGGTAAATGCTAACGTGGCAAATGCCCCCCAATTTTGGTAAAGATTAATTCAATTTCATTGCATGCATACTTGTTTAGGAATAAAAGGACAACATACATTTGTTGAATAGTAATGATGCAAAAAAAAAAAAAAAAAAGATTACGATGAATGCATAAAAATAATTTTGTGGTAATTCATGATTTACAATTCAATAAAGCAACCCAAAAGACTTATTTCTGAATACTTTTATGTATTTTACATTGTTACATTTATTTTTTGATTATTTAACAGCAAATAAATTAAAGGGTAACATTCGTAAATTAAACAGTCGCAATAAATACAGGAAATACGGATTAACTGCGGCACTTAGCCACATTAGCCCACAAGCATTGGCCACAAGCCATTTACGCTACTTATAATGACGACATAAGGGCATGCCGTTGGCTTTTTTACGTAGTGTGGAGTCGCCTCGCGATTGTCGCTCTTTACAACGTTACTGTGGAAGGGTGTGGAATCTGTGAAAAACAAATACATGTGGGATTTTCATTCTGTTTTGTTTTTTTGCGGCCACTGGCTGGTCTGCTTTCTTATTACTTCTTCTTTCTATAATTTACGCAGCATCTCTTCGAGTCGAGCTTCGTGCTGACCGGGCATGTTGTGGCGCAATGACTACACTGAAGTTGTGCAACACTAAATTCAGACTGTCCCTTAAACATAGTGTAAAAAAAAAAAAAAAGATCGCTTTAAAAAAGCAAAAAATGTCCATAGTGGAACAGCAACAGAAGTGTCAATTTCGCGATTTCGTTCTCGTTTTGGAGAATTCCTCCAAGACTCCACTGCACCAGCAGATGGAAGCTCTCCCGGCGCTCTGAGCCGGCCCGGTCATTTCCTGTCAGGAGGCCTGGTGTTAATCAAAGCTCAAGCCAGCTTGAACGCCACCCTTTCGCCATCGCCCCTCCTTGTTCTCCTACACGCCCTCATCTATCAGCTAACAAATACACTTTCCCCCCCCCTATTTTTTCATCCTACGTCGTAAAATAGCCCAAAGGCAGTGTTGGGTCTTATCAAAATGTCCCCGTCAGAGGAATGCAGGTCCCGAGGCAGATAGTAAGGGATGAAGACTCCTGAAAAAGCCAACAACCCCCCCGCCCCTCCCCTATGTTGGACTACGAATGTTTGTACTTACTCGATTGTTCTCTCTGTGGTTTGTGTCCATGGTTTGGTTTACATGCAGCGGGGGAGAGAGGACGGCCACTCTGTGTGTATTTCATGAGTTTGTTTCTCATGAGCGCAGCTGATTCTTCTGGGCTGACGTGACAAGACGCCAGTTTTGGGGGATGGGGTTGTTGCGATTGAATTTAGCACAGATGCTAGCATAGGGGCGGTTTTATCGGACCGGTGTGACCATAAAAGTGGGTCACTACAAATGAATGAAACCATGTAAAGGAATGCCAAAACATATTTTTTTTATTTGAACTAAAGGCCGGTACCTACAATATTTTTACAATCTAATTACTTCAACTGCATATGATATTAGAATCAGTCAAAACGACACGATTTTGTTCATGTCACCAAATCAAAACGACAGCATTTTTATCCATTTTCATGTAAAGCGGCCGTTTATGTATAACGCATCCTCAATCTTGGTCCGCACGATAACGAGGGCCGTTCGGTTCTTTGAGGGCCGACCCCCGCGGCGTCCAACTGTAGTCCGACCAGATGCTCCGCATCTGATGTGGCGAGATGAGGGCATGAATGAAGCACTGTTTCTCTCCTCGTGGGAAATGTTTTGGTTGAACAGAGTCGTCGCTAGTGTTATCGTGTGGGCGCGCACGTGTACGTGTGCTGCGGTCATGGCTGTCTGCGGCTCAGCCCCCCACCCCGCACCCCCACCTCAGAAAATAAACACTTTAGAAGTCGCACGCACACACACGCACACACACACACACACACACGCACACACACACACACACACACACACACACACACACACACACACACACACTTTCCATAACTGGATGGGTCTTGTCTTATGGCGAGGCCTGGCCCTCGTAGTGGTCTGTCTCGACAAGGCTTTGACCCTCAACACAAACTTCTCAATGAAAACCCGCCATTACAAATGGAAATCAAATATGTTGGTCACCTGGAGTAGTTTGGTGTAAAGAAAAAAAAAAAAAAAGCCCATCTGATTACTGTATTATATATCAGACTATCTTTGAAATAATATTGTATATTTTATTTTTCATAATTTTCTTCCTGTATTTTTCAGACGATATGATGTACGTTTTTCGTAGTTTGGCTGGTCCTGCGACTTGCTCAGGCGCAATTTGCATATATTCAAATTAAAGCTCGGGCTGGCGGCCAAAATCACACAATAACTTTCCTCTGGCGATTGGTAAATGATTTTGGTGCATTACTGCTGATGGCCAGAAGGTGGTGGTAAAGAGCAATAACCGACCCGTGTTTTTCCATTGGCCACAATACTCTGTGGGATTCGAGTTTACATACGTTATTTTCTCCTAAAAAGACAAAAAAAGTATCCATAGTTAGAATTTTCGTCCAACTGGAACTCATTCAATGCATCGGAATTTCTGAACGAAGTCCATTTTGTTTTAAAGCAATGAGCAGCTCACCCTCGAACCATTTACATCTGGGCTCTGGCACTCCTTTTTTTGGTGCACTCTGAATACCCGAACGGCACATTTGAACACGGCTCTTTCCGAACGATCGGATTGAAGCAGTGCATGCTCGGAGCGTATTTCCGAATGCACCCACGATTAGGGTAAAATAAATTTCCCCGAAATCGTGATTTGTACTCTGGAGCAATTTTATAATCCAAAACCGATGGTAGCTTATTCAGTTTGTCGCACAGTTTGTACAAGCAAAGTCTATGATCAAGGTTAGTGTGTTCCAGCCAGGCTGTGTGTGTTGTTGATGTCATGCTAAGCGTTAGTATCTCATTATCAGAGATTATTGTGGTTTACGGTCTGGCCCAGCGTCACCCCTCAAATGTGGATCATGACACAAGCGCACTCCTCTAATAAGAGACTGTACAAAACGATTAAATTATAGTTTTCCCAGACAGTTTTTAGCTAGGTTTTTAAGTCGTGGTGTCAATGTCAGCGTATAATACGCTAAGTGCTATGTCTGTTAGCGGTCCGCCCTGTAATCCACTTTCACTTGTGCCTCCAGCCGACCATGAACGCATGTTTGTGTGGGACGCCTGCCTGCGTGGCTTCTTAGGTCCGCAGATGATGAGGCTCTGGGACCAGAACGGGAAGCGGAGCCGTGATTAGGAGGATCGGACTTCCTGCGATAGGACGTTTCCTCCCTAGATGGCAGACTCGCCGCTGTATCTTGTCACTTGTCTGTAGTGTGTCGTGGAAGGTCCATTTGATGTCCAGTTTTGTTGGCATTTGATGGAAATAATGGAAATGGAATTCATGTAAGAACACCGGAGTCAAAACAACACCGTTAATACCCGTTTCTCATTCAAGCAAATGGTCAGGAAAAATCAGCAATGCCATTTGGATGCCATTTGTATTCTTTTTTAATGTAAACATAAATATTTATGTTGGTTTTCATGCAAACAAATAGCACACAGTTTGAGTCCAACCGACGCCAAACGCAGTCAGCAGTCAAACCAACACTGGGTGTAAACATGTGGTCAAATGGCAGTTTTTATTCACTTTCGTAGAAACATGGTCAAAACTACGTCATTTTTAAAAATATGTTTTCATGCAAACAATCAGCACTACATGCTTTGTGTCTTTTTTTTCAAGTAAGGAATCAAAACAGTCAGTCAAAATGGCACATTTGTAATGCATTCTCATGTAGACAAAAGCGACACGTTTTTTTTTTAAGTAAACGAGGTTTTCATGTGAAAAAATGGTGAAAACAGTTACTACTCTGCTTTCCCGCACTAAACGAATAAATCATCACAGTTTTATTGTAACCGTCAAATCAACGTTTCTATCTGTTCTGTCAACAGATCGTCAAAACAACAGTGTTTATCTGTTTTCATGGAAACGCTTAAAACAAGCATTGTCATGTCATCAAAATAACAGCATTGCTTTTTAAACCGTTCTGTTAAAACATCCAGATCGTGCTCATTTTTATCGCAAACCAGTGGCCGGAACATCACCACTTGTCTCCCTTTTCTTATGAACACACAACACTGTTTTTATCCATATTGTTGTGTGAACAAAACTGCTCAAAACATCACATTTTTGTGGTCTTTCTTGAGCTCGTCTCTCTTCTTCTAGTGCTCATTACTGTGTAAGGAGAGATGCGCCTTCTTAACAAGAATGTGTCTTCAGGAGGCCTGATCACACGTCACAAAAAAAATTTCTTTGTTCTCGGTCCTGCATTTTAAGCGTGGCCTTACGCAACATTTCAGTCAGTGACTAATTTGTTTCACTGTGAAGAAATACATATACTCGGTATGTGTGAGTCAGTGTTTTATCTCAACACGTGTGTTTAATCTTGGCTTCATGTTGCATCACAGTGCGTTCACAGTGCAACTAAAATAGCCATTCCGCCAAATCTGTGCCATTAGCGCCCGTAGGAAATACATTTGAAAAAAATCTCAGCCCAGTCCTGTTACCTTCATTATATTTGTGATTTTATGTCTTTGTTTTGGCAATATCTTTTGTTGTTGTTGACTCACTGATCTTCTGCAACTCGTGAGCTGCATTTGAGTCCTTACGTTTTTGTGATGTTTGACAAAAATGAGAGCCCGGTAAAAGATTTCGACGACTACGTTAGCTTCACTCGCTAACTAGCTTTTTCTATCAACAGAGGACTTAAATTTTGATCTTCTGCGACTGGTGTTGTCCTTTTGCGTTTGTGATGCCAGACCAGGCGCTCTCGCTTGTCTCGCGAGCTCGCTTGTTGCTACGTTAGCTTGTCCTGCTAGCTAGTTTGTTTTTTGTAAATTAAGGACTTTGTCCATGTTTTGTGTTAGTGCGCGTATTCAGTTCATATCCTGAAATTCAACTGGAAAGGACAAGATGACAACTTTTTCAGCCGACCGCCACCCCACACACACACACACACACACACACACATACATGTAATACAAAAAGTATCTGACCAGCGTCAATGTTATCTGAGTGTGTGTGTGTGTGTGTGTGTGTGTGTGTGTGTGTGTGTGTGTGTGTGTGTGTGTGTGTTTGTGTGTGTCGCCGGGGAGCGTCAAAGCACATAGCTCACTCACGCACGCGCACAAACGCGAGTGAGGATCAAAGGTTAATCATGTCTTCTCATCAGCAGCACCACCCTCGCATCTATCTGTCCTCCTCTTGTCTAACGGCTCTGTTCGTTGTGGCTGTTTGCTGATTTAAGCGTCATCAACATGATTCACGCGGCGGTTAACTCGCTTAATTCAGCGTCTCTTTAATTTCATTTGTGCATCGTAATTTGTGTTTTTGGACTTCGATGGGACACACTTAGTCATGATGGAGGTTGCCTTTGCGCAAAAGCCTTTGAATGGATCAGGGATGCAAAATGGCTGCGAAACAGGAATACTCAGGGTGTTGAAAAAAAAGCTGACATCATGAACGACAGAATATGAAATCTCATGGGTGAAAGAAAGAGACCCATTGCTCATGCAATTATATTGACGAACACAACTGATTCTTCAGGCCCTGGTCAGATTAGCTTGATATGCTAGCAACACATAGAGACTGAAATCTGATTGGATTAAAAAAAAAATGTAACATCATTTTCCAATTTGTAGAGAATAGACTGTTGGGGATAAATCATTACGATTTCATGCGATAAATATTCGAATTTAGTTTGTAAATGTTGGTCAGTACTTCTGATGGATAACATTCACCAGTGCTTTCATGTCACGCTGTTTATCGTCGATGCAAACCAGGTCAGAAAAGTCTGCATGACGTCCATTTTTGTTTTGTTGGCATTATAATCACGCACAGGGAGGGGAACGTGACCCACGGGCTTGGCCCATAGCTAGGCCCCTCCCACCAGCTCTTCATTAGCATGGTGTAGCGTAGCGTGGCGGCTCCAAACCACTTACTCAAATGCTAACTTGATGTATTTCGTTGGTTTCTGGCTCATATTTGTTAACTGTCTCATCATATTAGTCATATTGGCGCTAATTTTGCCTTGCTACACTTGTTTTGAACATTTTCATGCATCCTGTCATAATGGACATGTGCACCAAATTTCTTTTTGGTGGGCAAAAATGGTGCCGGGATATTTTTTTTCAACTTCTTGGGGCCATATTGGCAGGTTAATAATAGTTTTGGATTTTTCATTTGATTTTTTTTTTTTTTTTTTTTAAATTCATTTCTTTTTAATTATTTTTCCGAACTGATTTTGGGTCAGGTTTGGTAGTCTTTAGTTTTCGGGAAAATGCTTCATTTTAGTTTTAGTATTAGTTTTAGTTTTTTAAAATAAAATAAATGTCAAAGTGTTTAGGGGGCTCAAGATAAAAAAAATAAAATAAAAAAAACACAAAATATTGTCTTGTCTTGCTCACTTACGGTGCAGAAATTTTCTGGGATTACTGTGTGAAAAAAAAAAGGCTTAATCCACGCAGACAGCACACCTACCGTCGTCTCGGCCCTGCCTCGTAAATCCCAAATACACTTTGCAGCAACTTGTGTTGGTTATTCAGGCGAGACGCGCTTGAAAACATTCTGCCTGGTTCCTCTCAAAATGTTTCTTCATCGTATGGATTTGAGTCAAGCGAGCCACCACGCCCTCCCTACATCCAGATGTGCCGTAACAAACGTGCGCTAACATGTCTCACAGCACACACACACACACACACACACACACACACACACACACACACACACACACACAGAAAAGAAAGGAAAAAGATGCTTATCCCCCTCAGGAGAACGCGAAAAAAACAGTTCCTCGGTCCTCCTGGCAGAAAGGTCTGTTTTTGGATGGAGAGAGAGTTGTGGGGCTGAATTGATGGAGCTGCGTGTGACATGGGCTGTGGGCTGCAGCCTTGTCCAACAGTGCACCCTAGTGGCCAAGTTGGGAACTGTAACATCTGTCGACGCACTTCCGAGTGCGGCTAATTTGCGTTGGAAATGAGCAGAATGCCCATTTTCAAAAGTAGCATCCGTTGGTCAGAAATAACAGTGATTTTGGGTCGTTCCCAATACGTGGGCAGCTTAGGGCTACTGTTGTCTTTTCATCGCGTTGGCTCAACCGGACGTCGGCGGAGTTGCGCGCGGCATCGGTACACCTCGAGTCGGCCACAGAAGGGCGACGGGCTGGTCCCCCTGGAGGAAAATCTTTCCACCTCCTCGGTGATGTCGTGTGATCTGTGTAACCTAAAACTCAGAGATGCATTTGTACTATGTGTGAAGTCTTGGGGAGAGCCATCTTCTTTAAATTTTGACTGAAGAAATGTACCACCATATTGTATACCATTAACAATGTTAACAGGACGACAAAAACGTTGCCTGTTCACTTTTTGAAAGCTAAATGTGGGGGAGGGGTTTTCCATAATTTCCAATGGGTCAATATTCATCCAAGTGATAATAATTGCCCTCAAAAATGTCGAAAACAAAAACAACTGTTTTGTGCGCGGTTTCTGCCATTCGTGTGTGCGTGCAACTGAGCACACGTGTTAACGCATTCTGGTGTGTAACTCAAGCCCAGTGAGCAACAAACACATGTTCACATGTTTCTACTTGGAAAACAAACACGGCAGAGCGCAGGCCCCTGTGATTCCCGGACAGTCAAAGCAAGACCCCCTCCCCCCCGACCCCCCGCCCG